GAGGTTTAGAAATCTACACATAAATCTCCAGAACAAAAACATATTCTATGCAATCTTTCGGCGTGTAGCTGGACACATATTTATTTCGGAAATATATTTCGAAACTCAACAATTGATAATTTTCTTATAATATTCTTACCACGTGTTACACGTACTTAGTTAGCCAGATAAACTGTTTAATAATAATAATGTATGAACCTTGTTAAACATTGTGAATTTTTGCATTTCGAAAGTATGTCATTTAACCTTATAAATTTTTCTGGTGAGTGAGAAAATAAATTGTTGTTTCTAATTAAAAATCTAAAATATTTATTGTTCAGCCAAGAAATGTGAGTTTGTAAATGTTATGAATCATGTTTTCAAGTATTATGTAACGATGGAATTCATACGATCTAACAAATAAATCCAAAATAAATTAACCAAAATTTTGTCACAATTTCAAATTTTAAACTAAACAAAACAAAACAATTTTAAACTATACCAAAAGTAACTGATAAAACAAACAAGTTATCGTGTTCATCATTTTCTTTCTGCACTCCAAATTGCTTCACAACGGAGGAGGTAATAGTGACACACTTTTCATCCATATTCTCCCCGTCAAACTTCGGATAACCGTGATACGGTAACACAGGCATCGTGTAGGACAGGTCCATCTGGTGATAGATTATATTTAATTATGATTTGACATACACTTCTCGAGAGACATGCCCTTCTTTTTCCATCATGACTGAAAATTTTGAGCCTTTCGTACTTACCTTTCTTGGGTTGGTTTGGTCATTCTTTATATTCAAATGAAACCAGTGTTTCTCAGCGATTTTGTCATTTTCAAGCACTGTTGCCCAAAAATGCACCGATTTTGTCCCAATGTAGAAGTGCAATATGAATATCTGGCGGTGTTTCTTCAAGATTATATAGGTCGCGTTAAGTCCAGGAACTTAAATAAGAGTAACAATAATCAAAATAGGAACTTCGGGGGACACAAAAAACTCGATTTTGTAAAGATTTGCAGTTTGAATCATAGTTCTAAATAGTTTTGGTCAAACTATGGTATGCTAGGTTAAATTAATATATCTATGTATTATGTTAGGAGGATTCCGATCAGGGTATCCTACCCCGGGTTGTTAGGGTTTTGCGGGTTTTTGTGGATTTTTGGATAGCAAAAATGAGCAATACCCACGGATAATTGGGGATTGGGGTAAATAGTTGGGGTTTTCAAATTCTGTAAAGTAGGTTAGCAAGGCTTTACCAAGAATTCTATAATTTAATAATTTATTAAAATTGAATTACTAAGCAGCTTTGTTTCAACATCTTACAAGGGAACATACCGAGGTGTCCAACGAGTTAAGGGTCGACACCTATACCAAAATGACCACAATACATGACTTATTAAACAAACTGAAGGAATTTCCGTGTAAAATTGACTTTTCGCCAAGTTGTGACGATATTTGTGACGAGCGCATGACCATCGGGCTGCCAGCGGGAGAGGTCGGCCGCTGAACGACCAGGTCGAACACACAGAAGCGTCGTCTTCTCCACATCGTCTTCAGAGATTTCAAATTCTTTCAAATTGTGAAAAAGATTTGAAATTTCTTCAAAATTTCAAAAATTTCCTCAAAATTTCAAAATTTCCTCAAAATCCCAAAATTTCCTCAAAATTTCAAAATTTTCTTAAAATTTCAAAATTTTCTCAAAATTTCAAAATTTTCTCAAAATTTCAAAATTTTCCTCAAAATTTCAAAATTTTCTCAAAATTGTTTCAAAATTTCAAGATGTTTTCAAAATTTTCTCAAAATTGTTTCAAAATTTCAAGATGTTTTCAAAATTTGAAAGAATTTGAAATCTCTGAAGACGACGACGCTTCTCTGTGGTCGACCTGATCGTTCAGCGGCCGACCTCTCCCGCTGGTAACCCGATAGTCACGCGCTCGTCACAAATATCGTCACCACTTGACGAAAAGTGAATTTTACACGGAAATTCCTTCAGTTTGTTTAATAAGTCATGTGTTGTGGTCATTTTGGTATAGGTGTCGACCCTTAACTCGTTGGACACCTCGGTATGTTCCCTTGTTAGAAAAAGCAGATTGTTACAACTTATACATATACAATACATGAGACACTGACGGCCTCTCCCATCAAAGTTGCTCAAAAACTCAGGTTTTGAGTATATAAATATATGAATAAGTAAATAGCTATATCTGGCGCGGAAAACATTTTGAAATCTTAAACTTTTCACTAAGGTGAGCTCTTGATTCTGAAATTACAAAAAGTTATAAGCTACGCCCCCTGGGGACTAACTCCACCCGCAATAGGTAAAAAATTTAGGTGCATCTATTTTGCTCCCGAAACCGAAATACATATGTGGATCTTGTAAAGGTTAAACCAACTGGAGATCATGCAACACTTTCCTGATGTATTTTATGCATGTACACTTATTAATTTTTTGTGTGTACACGCATAAATATGTAAGTTACTTTTGTATTTATGTATTTAAATAACTGATCATAGAATGTCCTACTTTTTTGACTACAATAATTTTCTCTAAAAATACTTGTTGCCATTATAATAAAATCCCGGTTGATATATCAGAGAAAATCATTTTGCCTTTGACCAGCAAAAACTTCCCAAGCATTTGCGGTTGCCTGGTTGAATGGATAAAATGTCCAAGGTTTTTCTAACTTTTACATTGTAAAGTGACCTTAACGTGCATTATCGCAACACAGCTACATTTGTAGATAGATGAATATGTATGTACCTGTAATAGCACTTATTAAGGTGGTCCTTCGCCTCAGTCGCAGCCAGTGGGACAACGCAGCCCGATTCAAAGTTGTAACATTTCCATTTCAAGTCAAACTGGGAAAATATTTTTCATACTTAAATTTTAAACGCTATTCGACATTATTTGGCTTACTTGTCGTGACTGTCGCTCCTCCAAAACTGATACTTGCAAATTTGTTTTACAAAGCCCACATTGAGCCATTTTGTCAGCGCAAAATCCACACACAATATGACCGTTAGCACATTGATTAATCGGAGATGCAGCTGGATCCAGACAAATGGTGCATTCTAGGACATCAGTTAAAACTGGTGCCGTAATAAGAGGGGGAGCTGTCTGTAGGTTAAGATTTAAATTTAAGATTGAATACTTAGTGTAGCAAAATGCTGATAGAAAATGTGAATTTCAAACCGAAATTATTTGGAAGTACCGCATTTCAACGTGTGTAAAAATTAAAATTTAAAAAAATAAACCGTCGCATACGAAATGTAGCACAGGGGTGAAGCACACGGTCATGGCACTTCGAAATGATGACAATTCATTCCTAGGCTCTGGGAATTTATCTAAAAATTCTGGACGACGAATTTGTAGTAGTCAGGAGAGTAAAACAATGGCGATAAGCTTTTTACATTAAGGTGAGCTAGTTTTGCGATAAATTGCAATTTTTCTGATGGCTTTTTAAACTTGAAATCCTCTTCAAACACTGGCAAAATCTCTAGCGTAGATTTTTTCAGTTGCAACGACCTGCCATGAAAATATGTCGTCTAGAATTTTAGCATAAATTCCCACACATTTCTTTTGAACTAAATTAAATTTGGTAATTGTAACCGTTTGCAAAATAATTACATTTTTCGTGTTAGTCAGCATAATAACTAAAAGTTTTCTTGTGAGTGATGTGCATACAAACGCTATTAAGTAGTTTACAAGTAAACTAGTGCGTTATTAAATCTGAAAATACATAAGCAATAATAAGCATGCACTTCTCCATTAAAAATTTTTGTACCGTTAATTGCATGAAAAAGAAAATTAAGACCCGAACCGTTAACAATGACGTTAATAAGTTTAATTAATTATCCAATTAGTCCAATTTTATACTTGTATGGGATAACTCATGGAGTACAAAATAAATACATAGATTTTATTTATTTGCATTAAATGCCAATTTGGCATTGCATCTTTCTTTTGATTATACAAAATCATGAAATGCTTGTACATCTACTCGTCATTAAATTAAAATAGGACATATTCTTTTCGACTTATCTTGCAAAATTCTGACATATGTACAAACAATTAGCACGCTATTATTAATACTCGCTCATAAAATATTAGTGCCTGCTTGCAAGTGGTCATCCGAATCGGGGTGATATACTTATTTACAGATTCCGTCTTCTATAATTTTTCCATTCATTTCGCATTTACTTAAATGATAATATGATTTACATAGAAGTTCTACGGTAATAATTATGTACCATCCACCCTTGCCTGGACCCACAACGTTCTCATGTTCAGAAATTAAATTAAACCCAATTCATCCTAATCCCACCAGCCAGTCGGTATGCCAAGCAAATATGTATGTAGTTAATCTTTAAAATATGCAAACTAGTAAGAACAGAAATAATTTATGTAAACCTTCCAGGAAAACGATGCAAACGAGGTCAAATTTTGAACACTCTAAATTTTCTAAAATTTTTATAAAATTTGTCAGTTTAAATACCTGCAAAATTTGACCACCTTCATAATCCAAAGTATGTACATAATCTAACGTATGTACATAAATATGCACTTCATAAAATCAAAACCATAACAATCAAAAGAAAATCTTTTTACACGTTCTTTTAAAAGCTTTATGGCAATAACCGTTTTTTGCATTGGAAGATATAGATATGTCATCTAAAAATTAATGGTCACATAATTGTGTAAAACTTGAAAGTATCATAACATTTTCCACCTATTATACAGAGTTGCCTTAAAACTTAAAAAAATTGAACCTGATCGCATCTAAGTAACCATTGTGGATTAAAATTCGTGGAAAGAGACCCTAAAAATATTTAAGGTTTATTCATTTATCTGTAAAAAGTTAAATAAAGAAATCGTCCCTTCTAGAAAGTTATTTGCCTGCATGTTAAAAATTCCCAAACTGGATGTGACCTTTCCGCAAAATGCCAACCTTAAATAAGTCCTATGCATAAATAATCCCATCCGGGGCTTTCCACACAAAACGTGTTAAATTCGCTCCAATGTTTAACAATTTACTTTAAAATTTTTACACTTTATCCGCATATCTTTAATTTCTGTATAAATTTTGAATTGTATACAATTAAAATATACATAGTAGATTCGTATCAATAATTGACAGCGTATTATAGATTGAAAGGCCAGAAGGACCCCTCTCCAATGGGGAAATGTGATACTCAGAGGTCGACGCCGACAAATTCTCGGCGGCGGCGGCGCCAATTTTTGGTGATTTTTCGGTGGCGTCGGCGGCGCGGCGCGGCGTCGCAATGTTAAAGGAATAGGAAATCAAGTTTTTCGGTGGCGGCAGCGCGTAAAATACTGCGCGCGTTCGGGCGCGCGGCGGCGTACGATCGGCGGCGCGGCGGCGTACAATTGGAGGCATCGACCTCTGCACCAAATTGAATGGTTTTCCATCCTGATCAAGAATATATAAAACATTTGACCGGCAAATGCATATTAAGGTGACAAAAAAAGGTCAAAGCTCAAAATTTTTTATTGCATTTTTGGACGTTTCAGGGCATTCTAGGACTTTGTCTCAGTTTACAATATGGCGGGAATTTTTTTGGGGTGACGTGAGATTCTCTCTTCAACGTCTCATTCTTGTCCTGAAATTATTTCTTTTACTTGACAGATTATCAAAAAATGTATAGAAACGAGGTAAATTTTATGTACAAAAAACTTAGTAAATATTTTACTAATTTTGTAGTACAGATAATTTTACGAGTTAAATGAATTATTTCTTGGTGAATCTTTCAGTCTGAAATTAAAACTCGATAAATTTTGAGCAAATTATTCACAGTTTTCATAAAATGTAGCAAAAAATGGAACAGATTATTAGAAAAATTAATTTTCGCCAATATTTTGCACTAGTTTAACGCCACCTTGTCGCCGTGGGGACATAATTTAAGAGGGGGGTACGTGGTGGGGATGATTTTGGCTCGAGCAGACGGCCCGTGACGTTTATTCGGTGGATGAGATAGCTACGAAGTAGGGTTGCCGCGGGTAGCGAAAATGCTACCCGTTACCCGACCCGCTACCCGCAGCACAACTACCCGTACCCGCACGGGTACCCGTGCGGGTACCCGTTACCCGCTACCCGTTATGAGAATTAGGTTAAAAACTAACCAAACTTCAGAATAAATATGAGTTGATCAATTATTTGTTCATTTGGGTATGTACTTTGAGATAATGCTATGCAAGTAACGCATGCCATAACTTGCTCGTAGGTATCACTCGTTATTTTTGAAACCAAAATTTTTGGCTTACATTGGATCGTTTTTCAAGCTATACCGATTTATGTACATATATCAAAAAATTAAGCGGAAAAATAGGAATTACATGACACTTATTTTTCCGTTGAAAGACCCGTTTAAAGGAAACTATTGGGATAGAGAGTTCAAAGTCCACCATGGTTTTTGTTTAATGGCGGAAAAGATACGGAACATTTACTTAAAAATTAAACTTTGCCGCCGATATTTTTCTTCGAAGGGGCCATTCAAGGGAAAGACAAGTATCATGCAATTCCTAATTTGTGGCCTTAATTTTTGATATACTCGCTGGGCAATCTTGGTATGGCTTGAAAAAGGTTCAATTTTTAGTTTGATTTTTTCAAATTTAGATTTAAATTAAGTTTTCATTCGAAAAAATTATCTGGAAATAAATTTTTTGCTTTGAATCGGATTCAGGTTTTTCAACTTCGAACATATTAAAGTCTCGTCAGTCTTACATAAATACACAAAAATACAAGTCAAATTATTACTATATTTTAGAACAGGCAAACCATGCTTCAGAAACAATAATTGCTCCGCATTTTCTGGACGTGAAATGTATTTGAGGCTAGCATAGGCTTCTATGGCTTCCGAAAAGAGACCCTGGCTATAAAAGTTTGTTGCTGCCAAATGACAAATTTTGAAGTGGAAAAATAATAAATTGACGCTTTTGTTGGCAAATGGACTAATTTGCTGCTAACTTTCTTTGTGAACTGATTTATGTTGAAAATTAAATAAAAACTAAACTACCCGTTACCCGTGCGGGTAGTTCTCGCTACCCGCAGATAACGGGTACCCGCAAGAATCGTGCGGGTATGCGGGTAACGGGTACCCGACCCGTTACCCGCGGCAACCCTACTACGAAGTGATACCTACAATTTTTGATTCACGAAACTTTTTGACCCCTTCTTATTTTTTTTACTTAATAATATATGACAAATTTCTTACAAATTACAAGATCCTTATGTAAAGATTAGTTAATTTTGACCTAGTTTGACTAAATTTTAGCAACTTATAAATACAATAAATTGAAATAATCCCTGATTTATAGAACATTTATTCATTTACTTGGATATTATGTAAACTTTTAAAAAAATATGTAAGAAATCGACCCTTATGAAAAAATTCTAAATTTTGTTCGGCAAATCAAGCATATATTCGCACAAGGAAATTAGCTTCGCCAACATTTTATCTTGAATTTAAATATGAAGGTTAATTTTCAACGTTTTACAAATTATGACAATTTTATTATTCCTACAGATGTGTGCCCAACCGTTGAGTAAAGAACCGGCGAATTTCTCCAAAGCAAAATCCTGCCTTGACAAAGCGCTCCAATTGGATAACCGCCATTGGCCCGCGGTGCTCACTCTGACCCAGATTTTGGAGGAGGTAAAGCAAAATAAAAATCCTTTAATTAAAAATTTTAACATAATTATTTTTCCTGGCAGGAGGGCCACTACGATGTCGCGGTTCAGAAACTGCAAGAATACGCGAACGGTGGACCGACCGGGGTGCGACTTCATCTCAGAATGGCTCACCTTTTAAGCAAAATGCGTTCCGACGACGAGGCTGCTGACCATTACGCAATCGTTTTAAGGTAAGTTGGTCATTACAGATAGAAAAATTAATAAGGAACTAATTCTGCGTTTTAACTGGGAAATTTTCAAAAATTTTGATCTTAAAAAAAGTTATAAAAAATGTGGAAAAATTTCGTTTAGTCAGTATCCGTAGGTGTATATTTTACGGGGAAGTTTTACCTGCAGATACACATTTACCACCTCTTTCAGTCCTTTATCCTCGTCGTAATCCTTACAATTTTACTGATCTTTGTCCAAAATTAAACCCTATTTCAATCTTAATATTACTTCTGAATCCATTTCACACCATTGTTTTTTTTATTTAATAAACAGACTGGATCCGAACAATCGCGACGCTCTCGAAGGTCTCGACCATCTCGACTTTAGGAACATCATAGTAAAAGAGGAGGAGGAGGAGACTGAAGTGACCTCACGCGATATCGGCGTGAGTCCCTTGAACATCGATGACGATGTAATTAATTAATTATTTCATTATTAATTATCTACGAACTAGACTTTTTATAAGTGAGAAACGACTTTATTAATTTTTTCTAGGAGCCAGGGTGGGTTCCACTAAACCAATTTGCTGTCGGCGAACGTCTCTAAATTAGTGCGGAAAAATAATCGTATATTTATTCAAGTACAATTTATTTTCTAAAAAAATAATGGGTCACATTTTTATACTTAAAAGTTTTGACACATTTTTAAGTAATAAACTGTGGATTAAATTGACTTGTTGTTTGAAAGAGTGCGAAATAATTTGTAACATCTGAAATTTTTATAGGATTGATAAATAACTTTGTATGTTTTTTGATTAGCAAACAATATAACTATACTTATTAGGTTGACAAAATAGAAGTGTTTGAGTTAACAAAGAATTTTATATTGATTCTGATGCGAATAAATAAACGTAGTGACACATAGTTTTAAAAATCGTAGGATGACATAAGCTTATTAATAAGTTTGACAATGGCAAAGACACACAAAAGTTCTTTCTTGCATAAAATATTAAGTACACAAAAAAACGTGAATTATTAATTAAAACTTGGAAAAAACTTTACCTATATGTAATACACGGCTAATTAAATTCCACATTTTAGTAATAATGTCTAGGACATATTTTAACATAATAAAGTGAAAAAACAAAAGTAGACTGATAAAGAAGTGACGATATTTTTACAATTCAAGAAATCTACCCGCTTAATACATACTTGCAGCAATTATTTAATCCCTGACACTAATTGGCAACTTATTCTCTCGAATAAACGTCTGAAAATTGTCCTTCGTCTCCTGATCTATCTGTGCAAATTGGTAAAATAGAAACTCATTAATTTTTTACACTTTTTTAAGTTACAAATTGTACTTGAAATCCAGCAATAGTCAACTTTTGAACCGCCCTGCATGACAGAAGTGCAGCTCGCATCTCGTCCAACAGTCTAAAATCTGCTTGATGATGCCGGTCACGCCGATAACCAGTAAATTGAATCGACGTATTTGACAAACCTACAAATTTAATTATCATTCCACATTATATTAATCATCATTAGTAAATTGTCCAAAATTATATATAACCTGTCCACCCCGTCACTCCTCCCAATACCGCAATGACCAGTAAGGAACCAAACTCATGGTCATAAGTTGTTAGAGGAGTCCGATAAGACGTCGCAATGTCAAACTGAACCTGCCCACAGGTCAACTCCCAATCGTTGAAAGATCGCATCGTTTCCACCAAAGACAAAAAATATTGGTCGTAATCGCTCTGAAATTCAACCCTCAAGTTTAATTTCAATTCCTTCACGGCCGGGAAGAGATACACCAGAGCTCGGGGAGCCTGTTCATCCACGTTGTTAAATTGGGGATGATGGGCGCAACGAATATCGAGCGATGTTATCCCACCGTGGCGCGAATGGTAGCCCTCAAGCAGTGCAGAAATATCACGCACGGAGTCAATATCAACGTCATCGTGGAATTCAGTGCTGTTGGTCTCTATGGATAAACGTGTCAATTTTGGGAGATTGGTGATGTTCAGCGAGTCCTTAATGAAATACACATCGGCAGAAAGAAGTCCGAGGTGGGTGAGATTGGGGAAGTGGAAATTCAGCTAAAAATAAAGGTGATAATTTGTTAAACTTGGATAAAATGAATACATGAAAACAAATTTTATGTACCTCAACAGGGTAATCATAACTCCCACCAACATAATCCAAGGACAATCTTTCCAAAGAATTTCGACAACTTTCCAGCATTTTCTCAACCTTAGAGATGTCGATTTCAAAACCCCAAGGATAATAATGAAATCTCCGTCCGCACCCCTATTTGCAGAAATCGTAATCAGAATCGTAGTCAGAAATCGTACCTCTATCGTGGCGTTTTTCCTTATGGACTTTCCACGAACCCTTTCTGGCTCACTCCAAATAAAAAAAGCCAGGTGGGTTCGTCGCGGGAACTATGGAAATTATACGTTGAATCAATTAAATGCAAACTATTAAATGTTGGATAAATTATGAAGTAGTTAAAGTTAATTCAATACCAGTGGATTGAGCAAAGCCTCCGTCGCCACGTCGACATCGATGTCATCGACAAGGTCAAAATTCTCCAGTTGTGTGGCCACTTGATCAACCTCGGTTTGCATTCTGTCCACCAATTAGACCAAGTGATTAATTACAAATTGTCAGGGATTGTTTAATAGTGAATAGAAAACAAATTTTCAAAGTTAACCATCATATTACCGACAGAAATTATTGCAAGAACAAAACAATTAATGGAAATAAATTCCAAGCCAGACCTTATTAAATTTGATCCGTAAATCACTAGTGACAAAACATTCAGTTTTCTCACAATGGATCATTGTGAGAAACTTGCAGAAATTTACATTCAATTTCGCCTAAGGTGATTTAATTCTTTGTCAAATGACTGAGAGTGGTCTCAAAAGTCGCGATTTTTGCGTTTCGTAATTTATGGATGCCTCCACATACATTTTATTGACTCATCTGAAATTTTGTTCCATCAGGAGACTTGCCTCTACGAATCCTTCACAATTCTGGAAACATTCATCTACTACGGAAGACTGCATTGTATGCCGTTGGATAAGATTATATGCAACCTGGCAAATTTAAAAATTGTCATGAATCTACCCAGTTTGAACAGTTATGTCAATAATATCAGGTATGCACAAATGTGTAACCCGTTCGTTATTAGTTGATGCCCTTTTAATCCATATTTTGTTAATGAAGTGGTGGGGAGAGGCGCCGTGTCTCCCTCGGCGTGGCGTTGCTGCATGACCCTAAAATTCTTGTCTTGGGCGAGGCTACGGTCGGAATTGATCCGGTTTTACGACAGAAGTTTGTTAAATATACATTTGTGATATGTACAATTGTTACAAAGTACGCAATTATGTACTTGCGCAATATGTGCTTAATTTCAGAATTTGGGATTATTTGGAAGGTCTTGTTAAATCCATAGGAACAACGATTTTCCTTACAACTCACTACGTTCAAGAAACAAGACACTGCGCAAAGGTATGCAATTAACTGATTTGCAAATGTTTGTGTATGGATAAAGGAAAAAAATTTCACCAAACATAACAAAACATTCAAGACAATTGCAAACTGTGTAATATACAGTGTGTACGTAAAATGAAAATTTTTAGGCAACTGTTTATGATTAACGTTAAAATTAAAAGACTAAAATTTCAAATTGGATACCTACGAGATGGCCGAATGTTGGTGCAAGATTCGCCGAATGCGTTACTAGAAAAATATGGTCCTGAATTTTTCATACAATTAATTTTTGACATTTTTTGCGCAGTCTTTGTGTATTTAGAAAGTGAAGTAAACATTTATTTGATTTGCCATTCCAGGTCCAAATTCTAAACTGAACGCAACCACACTCGACGACATAATGTTACACTTTTGCAAAACGAATATTTCTCAAACACATAACATTACAACCCAACGCATTTCTAAATTCTCAAGAATGGAGAATGAAATTTTCCAGGAGGTCCAATTACTAAAAGTTGGAGTTGTGAATGGCAATATCTTGAACGCAGAACCAATTCGGGCAATTCCACAGTCGAAAATTTCAGATCTTTACGAACACTCGAAGAACTACTATTCTCAACTGAAGGCACTCACAATCCGGAATTTGATTGTATTTACAAGATACCCATTGTAAGTTTGTAATGAACTTGTCCATAAAGCTGTAGGTTTTGACGCATTTGTCTTTGCCAGACCTCTATCCAAACACAAACTCTCCATTCTTGAACCCAGTTACAAAAATATCAAATTTTAATTGTTGAGCAATGCAAACATTAAATATTAAACCAATCCCTGAAATGTAAGTGGGTACACCCCTAAAAATAATGTTACCCTTTTGAAAAATAAATACAGTCTCAATTCCCTATTAACCAAATTATGCAATATCCAGAATGAACGTTTACTTGGGAATGAATTAAATCACCCTAGAACTTGTTTTAATTGTAAAAATTGAGTATCACAAGATAAATTATAAAAAATTGAGCCACAAATTTAAAAAATAAAGTCACTTTTATGGTCATATTTTGGGGATTTTTACGGTCATTTTTCATTCATATTTTGAGGTTTTATCGGTCATTTATAACCGACGCCTGATGATTATGTACCATCCAGCCTAGACTTGACCCACAACGTTCTCATGTTCAGAAAAAATGAAACCCAATTCATCCTAATCCCACCAGCCAGCCGGTATGCCAAGCAAATATGCAGTTAATCCTTTAAATATGGAAACTAATAACAACAAAAATAATTTATGTGTGCTCCCAAAATCTCACTTTTTTATCTCTTTTGCGGTGGCTGTTTTTCAAATACACTTTCTAGGAACTGTGTTCAGTTAGAGTCCTCGCAGGAACTAGTCTTCTACTTAGAGTAGATTCGTATCAACAATTAAAAGCGTGTTATAAATTGAAACAAAATTGTTTTCACTGTTAATTACTTAATTTTCATATATTAATTTATAACGCATCGGTCACAATATCCATGCCAATCTGTGTATTAAATAAATTTTGGCTTAAATTAATTAATTTATCAAAATTAACAAATTTAGCAAAATGTTGGCAAGTTTACAAATACACGACACGTCGTATCTGCACGAGCCCACGATGCTAAAACCTGCTCGTTGGGTTCTTTGCAGTTCTTTGTTATAAAAAGCGTGGCTCAAAACGATTTTCCGTTCAGTGTGACGGAGGCTGCCGAGCTGACTGCGTGCCTAAAATTGTGCTGAGGAGAAGCATGGCCAGCCCACGTGTTTTTATTTAGTTAATTTTCAACTTTACTTTATTGACGTTTGAATGTTCAGTAAAAGTGGGAAAAGGTGGAAGTTAAGCAGTTATCGAAGTTTGAGCAGTAAAGGTAAGTGCTAAATGTTTATTTAATTCGTGACATTGAAATAATTAGGATTGTTGTGTTGTGACGTTTTCTGTTGGATTTTTTATGACAATAATTTGGTAATGGAATATTTTTTTTGTGTTGTGGCCTTGTCGGTGGAGGTGACGGTGGTGACCTGATGTGCCGTGAATTTAAGGAAGATTTAAATTTAAATGTAAGTGTTAATAATGGAGATAAGTTAGTTATTTATTTTATCGCGTACCATTTGCTTATCATAAAATTATAATCCTCGTCGCATTTATGGCGGAGGCGATTTCTTTAAAAATAACGTCACATCCAGGGTTCGCTACCCCGGGTTTTTGTGGGTTGGGGTTTTTGGGGTTTTTGTGGGTTTTTGGGGTATCAAATCTCCGGAAAAACCGGTTTTTGCGGGTTTTTGTGGGTTTTTCCGGGGTTTTTGTAAGATTTTGGGACAGATTGAAACAAAATCCCTTAAACTACAACTTAAATCAATGCTAATTAAATTGACGGATTCATCATGAAATTTTGAGAATTTTCATGTGCGACTTGAATTTCCAAGTTTTATTGCATATTTCCAAGTTTGCATGCGAAATATGAATTTTCGATTTAACAGTCCAACTCAATGATAACGCTTAAAATTGCATGTCAAAATCGTATATTAAATTACTTTTTATCTAATATATAATTTAAAGAATTTTGGTTCAACCTGCCCCAAAATCTACAAAAACCCACAAAAACCCAAAAACCCACAAAAACCCCAAAAACCCCGGAAAAACCCGCGGGGTTGGGTTTTTCTAGAAAAACCCCGGGGTTTTCCGCACCCTGGTCACATCCTCCACGTTTTCAACACTATTATATTAGCATCGTTTTTTATGGGACGAAATTATAACCAAAAATTTACATTCTTCTGTTTCTGCTTGCTAAAAATTATGTTTTGTTTGATTCATAACAGGATTTGGAGATGAAGATTCGACGGGACTAAAGTGAGTGGAGGTGATGTCGTTATTTTTAATCGGCTTTGAGTTTAGGTAAGTTTGATAAGTTGTTAATTTTATTAAGAATTGAATTTGGTCTGAAATTTTAACTTTTCTAAATGAAATATGATTATGTTAAATTAATTTCTACAATTCTAACTTATCATGTATTTATTGATTTGTTTTCGTCCATTTTTGAAAATTTTGTTCATATTCATAATTTCCACAGATTCTGAGGACGAGATTCCGCAATTGGGCAAACATAACGCAACGCTTGTCGGATTCCGAATTATGGAGTCTTCGCATTTACTTTTAATCGGTACGTACTTAAATATAATTTGTTTCGAAACCGTACAAACCTTGGCATCAGATTTTGCAAACTTTGCCGACTTTATATTTATTGAATGCTATTTATGCACATATTTACATGTCATTATTGTTAAAAAATTCCAAAATCGTTCAGTAATATTTAAGGATTGGTCTTTACATTGTTTAATTCTTTATTTGTGTTTCTTAACTTTTGTACAGATTTACTTCTCATCCTGCAACGACGAGGTGACGGCGACAAAGCTCCCTTCATCTGCTCTTTTTTGTCATCCCGACATTTTTTCTGGGTTGGATCCGACTCGACGCAACAGGTGCGTAATTACTTAATTAGTAGTAGAATTTTTTTACAAAAACGTCTTGAAATATTCTAATTTCGTAATTTATTTTTAACGTTTTGTTTTCTTAATTTTTCTTGCAGAATTCCCGCAAATACAACGACGTGATCTGGACGACCTCAAATTTCCGCATCTTTTCTACATCATCGGAACTGCAAGAAATCAACTGTAAATTTGTATTTAGTTTGTATTATTAAGCAAATAAGCTTAAAGATGTAGACTTGAACGTCAACGTAATTTATTAATTGGCCCAGTTAGTTAGATCCATTTGGGAAAATTTAATTTGGTATTCTTTAGCTTTCTTTTTAAAAAAATCCTTCCAGATCTCAATATGCGTAAAAAACAGCGAAATTTACTAAGAATAATCATTATTAACCAGATTATACAAATCAAATAGTTTAGGCTAATCAGGTTTGGCCACAGGGTAATGATGTTCACACTAACTATTAGATAATTTAGTTGGTTTTACTCGTAATTAATAATTGATTAAAAGAATATTGGACACCAATTAGAAGTAGAGAATGACTAATACATGACCTGCAAGGTATTTAGGTCAAGATTTAAGGGAAGTAATTAAGGAAACAATAAAAGGGAATATCTAAACCAATTACATCGCGTCATGACCTTAAAGGTAATTAGGTCATAATTTAGGGAGGGTAATTAATTACACAATAAAAGGGAATATTCGACACCAATTAAATCGCGAAATGATCTTAAAGGTAATTAGGTCATAATTAAGGGAAGGTAATGAATTACACAATAAAAGGGAATATTCGACACCAATTAAATCGCGAAATGATCTTAAAGGTAATTAGGTCATAATTTAGGGATGGTAATTAATTACACAATAAAAGGGAATATTCGACACCAATTAAATCGCGAAATGATCTTAAAGGTAATTAGGTCATAATTTAGGGAAGGTAATTAATTACACAATAAAAGGGAATATTCGACACCAATTAAATCGCGAAATGACGTAAAAGGTAATTAGGTCATAATTAAGGGAAGGTAATTAATTACACAATAAAAGGGAATATTCGACACCAATTAAATCGCGAAATGATCTTAAAGGTAATTAGGTCATAATTTAGGGAGGGTAATTAATTACACAATAAAAGGGAATATTCGACACCAATTAAATCGCGAAATGACCTTAAAGGTAATTAGGTCATAATTTAGGGAGGGTAATTAATTACACAATAAAAGGGAATATTCGACACCAATTAAATCGCGAATTGATCTTAAAGGTAATTAGGTCATAATTTGGGGAGGGTAATTAATTACACAATAAAAGGGAATATTCGACACCAATTAAATCGCGAAATGATCTTAAAGGTAATTAGGTCATAATTTAGGGAAGGTAATTAATTACACAATAAAAGGGAATATTCGACACCAATTAAATCGCGAAATGATCTTAAAGGTAATTAGGTCATAATTTAGGGAGGGTAATTAATTACACAATAAAAGGGAATATTCGACACCAATTAAATCGCGAAATGACCTTAAAGGTAATTAGGTCATAATTTAGGGAGGGTAATTAATTACACAATAAAAGGGAATATTCGACACCAATTAAATCGCGAATTGATCTTAAAGGTAATTAGGTCATAATTTGGGGAGGGTAATTAATTACACAATAAAAGGGAATATTCGACACCAATTAAATCGCGAAATGATCTTAAAGGTAATTAGGTCATAATTTAGGGAAGGTAATTAATTACACAATAAAAGGGAATATTCGACACCAATTAAATCGCGAAATGATCTTAAAGGTAATTAGGTCATAATTTAGGGAAGGTAATTAATTACACAATAAAAGGGAATATTCGACACCAATTAAATCGCGAAATGACGTAAAAGGTAATTAGGTCATAATTAAGGGAAGGTAATTAATTACACAATAAAAGGGAATATTCGACACCAATTAAATCGCGCCATGACCTTAAAAGTAATTGGGTCAGTATTTAGGGAAGGTAATTAAGGAAACAATAAAAGGGAATATTCGACACCAATTAAATCGCGAAATGACCTTAAAGTTGGGTCAGTATTTAAAGGGATTTAGGTTATAACTTAGAGAAAGTAATTAATTAAGCACGTAATTAAGGTAAATTAATTAATTAAATTAATATATTAGTTAATAGTTAAAATATTTTTAATCTTGTTACATGTTTGTATTTTAATATTAAATAAATTTTGTTACTGTGTAGTATACAGATTTTAATTAATAATTTGTTTTATTATAAATTTAATTTACCCCTGCCTGTGTCAACACTTATAGAAATAAATGATTAGATATACATCATAATTGCATATAAATTGGATATTCTACTCCTATTTTTTATCACTTATTCTCCACATAAACATACGGACAGGATAATTCATCATTTTTGTCCGGATAGCATTTTAAGCGTATGTTTTACAGTGTATGTACATACTGTGCTCTTACTTAAGCGTGTCACCTCATTTGCATAAAACTCCTGGGGAATGAGTCATACATAACATGCAAAATAGGTGACTAGCACAAATATTTGTACAGTAGGTTGTCAATGCATGGCCAGTTATTTTCATCCAAAGTGAAATGAATCAACATATTTCTTTTAAAGTGCATATTATGCGGCTATAGTTAAAAAATCGACCCTTTTTTGGGTTATGGAAACCACTGCTCACTTTCCCATTGACATTAATATCTTGGTTAGCAGGGGCTATTTACATATTCCTATTTGAGCACTTGGTAAATAGGACAAACTGCCTGTGTTAAATACATATTTCGATAAACCGTGAAAATTATATATTTTAGCCGGATGAATTTCAATTTAGTCATATCTAACCCAGTATGAATACGCTAACTTGTATCCTGTTTAATTAATCCAACACATATTGAGTTAAAGTATTTAGAGACAAGATGGATATCATGGATATGGTCCGAAGGTTAAATGCGAGGTAAGCGTTTAAATCGGGTAAATGCATTCTTGGTTTTGAATTTCCGAATTTCGACTGTTAAATACACGATGATAATTGTTATTGATTTCTTGGTATTAAAATTGCTTCCGTGTCTTATAAAAATTCTACCTGTCCGTAAAAATTTTCTACGAATATGGTAAAACTTTAATATCGGTAGTATTTCTATACTTTATTTATAAAAGGTTACCCACATTTTATGCATTTTGGATTTTTAGATTTGTGGAAAATTTTTCAAAACTCCAGTGACCTTAAATTTCCACATGAACACGATCCACGTCAAACGTGAACGACACAGTTGTCATATTTGTCACCATTTCTACTCCACATCTACCAACTTACGTAGACATATTGACACCGTGCACAGCATTCTGAGGAATCCCATGTGAATTTCCCGGCTGTGAGAAAACCTACTTTGACAAATACGGTCTTTTGGTACACCACAAAACTCAACATTCTGAGAATCCGGTCCGATTTCGGTGCACACTTTGCTGTAACGAATTTACTACCCGGGTTAGCCTTGAGAATCACATTCGAATTCATTCGTCAGAGAGGCCCTACAGTTGCGCCACCTGTGGGAAGAATTTCGCTCAAAAGACAAACTTAAAACGTCACGAGGTAATTATTTACTGATAAGGTATTTTTTATTATAAGCAAAAAATTTCCACACTTTACAAAAAAATTGCACGAAGTAACTTTAGCATGATATCAAAAGTGAGGAAAAAGCAAGAAATGGGCGTCGTCTAAATGCTAATCGGAACGACAAGCGTAAGTCGCTAGGTGGCGCCACTTTCTTGCATTTCTACGACCTAGCAGTTTTTTGCAATAGTGCAAGAAATATGTAGTGACGGGATGTACAAAACCAAACACTGAATATTCAAATTACTTATTTTCTAGGAAACTCATCTGAACAAATTTTCCCGCCAAATTTTCAGTTGTCACCTTTGCCCTCGGAATTTCTTAACTCGAACCGGCTTTAACGAGCACTTTCGTGTTATTCATGTAAATCAGAAACAGTACGCATGCGAAGTTTGTAACCAACGCTTCATCAGCCAATATGAGACGTCACGTGGAGGCGAGACATGCTGAGAACAAGAATTCACTCCTGTGACACGTGCGAGTAGAGATGTGCATAGGGTAGGGTATACCCTAAAAAAACCCTACCCTGCCCTACCCTATAGGGCTTTGGGCGGGCGGGCTTTTATTACCCTGAATTTTTAAGGGTAGGGTAGGGTAGGGCTTTTTAAAGTAGGGCATAGGGCCGGGCGGGCTTTTTGTATGTACACCAATATGCTGTAGGGCAGGGTAGGGCTTTTCTGCTTTACAATAACGCAGTCAACCATCGAGCAGGCCATTAGAAATGAGACGCGGGACAATCTTGTCATCTTTCTGCTGTATTAATTCACTTGTGTTACAAGTACTTCAAATTGATTATACTATGGAGATTGACTACTGCATGTTGACATTTGTTACTGGTGTATTTGAAAAGTTTGGAAAGTTTACAAAATTTGGAAAGTTGCAAAAAGACAAAAAAAAATCAAAATTTCTTGCATCACATTCCATAGATGTAAGAATTGTTCAACCACAGGAGTACACTCTTAGCAACTTGGTAACAAAACCAAGAATTTTGTTAACACAAACCATCGGTGTCAACCTCAATTCCACTAAATAGTGTCAAACCGTTGTGTAAAAATGACACTGAGCAAAAAAAACGCGTTGGCACGCTACTGGTATCAGCTATATTCCTGCAATGGTGTCGAATTGACACGGTGCGATGTTACTGCAGTAGCAAAACTTGGACTTCACACCAAATTGTGTCAGTCGGTCTCTTCCTTGTGCACGGGTTTGCTTGGCGGCCATTTTCCTTCCTCCTCCACGAAAAAGTCAACAGAATGGATAAATTAATTGGTGTGTTCCATTTATTTCGATGGAAAAAATTGTTAATAAGTTGAAGGACTACTTCCAATTTCTTGACTCAGGTTAGTTAAAATCTGTAAGTTACTGTGAAGAGGTGATCTTTGCCAAATCCTTATTGAAAAACTGGTTCTTTAGATCTGCAACTCTCACTATCTCCTTTTCGTAGTTGTGTTAGTGATCAATGATCACTATGTCAAAAAGGCAACTCTTATAATTCTTACAACTCTTACCACCCAATAACCGGTTAGACATATAAGTTTTAAAAACCTTTAAAACCCATAAAGGCAGTAAACAGCATAATACATATCGTTCACCCAGACCACAAGTACCCAACCAACTCTCCCAACAACACACCGGACCCAAAGTTCTCCCACATGTTGGTCTACCCTTTATGCGATGTCATTTCACACAAATAATAATTACAAACATCGGAATTATTTTCGTAATAATCAATCGATCATTTATTTTCGCCAATTTGGTTTTCAACAAAAACATAGTTCCCTCCCCAAAATGTAAAAAAAGGCGAAAGAGACTCGAAACTTCGAAATTCAAACTATTTTAGACTTCCACTTGGATGCTGAATACACCCCATCATGTGACAACGCCCTCTCTCACAGCGGCGACCTCCTTAACATGATTGAAAGTGTTTCCTCCACCTGTCCCGTGAGCAAAAATGATGCCCACAGAGACACAGCGGGCAATGAGGACCCTGCATCAACAAAATCCAGTTAACCTTCAAGGTATCAAACCCCATTTCTACCTAAGAAACAATTTTTTCGCGTTAACAGAATTCATTTTCAATAAATTGCCATTTACGTAGCCTTAATAATCTTACTTATTGGTTAATTCGCTCTGTTACTTTAAGTCTATTTTAGTCTATCTAGGAAAATTTTAATAATTTCTCTATCAATTTTTAACCGACATAGAATTTTGACATTCTCCTTACCTGGGATTGAGAAGTTTCCAAATTAACACAAACAATGTGATGCACACCCTTGAAGTAGGTACACTGACGCAAATCTTGGATTTTTTCGCTTCATAAGTCGGGCCGACTCTTCATAACATGAGAGCTGTGAAGAGGTGATCTTTGCCAAACCTTATTGAAAAACTGGTTCTTTAGATCTGCAACTCTCACTATCTCCTTTTCGTAGTTGTGTTAGTGATCAATGATCACTATGTCAAAAAGGCAACTCTTACAATTCTTACAACTCTTACCACCCAATAACCGGTTAGACATATAAGTAGACTAAATAGGTATACGTATGGTATATAAGTAAGAACAAGAGTGACCATCGACAGCGAGTCGACTGCCTGTATCTTGATACGTGCAATAAAACCTGTCCTGACTTTGTCTCACCAAATCTCACCTTGCCTCCAAGACGCAATTTATTTCCATGTACAACAACGACGACGATCGTCTCATCTGCCTCACCACCACCATCAATGCAGTGAACCCCCCCCCCATAAACGGAACTTCACATTACAGACTGTAACATATATTAATTTTCCCTCATTTAATTAAAATTATTTTACTGTGTGTATTTTTATTTTGAAAAATTGTTTCCAGAAAGCTAAAACTCAAGACTGAACCAAACGAGGGAACCGACGAGTAAGGATCTATCCACCCGACAGCCTATTTAATTATTATTAAATCTTTTTTACAAAGTTAATTTAACTTAACGATTTACTCATATTTTGATCATCACCGTGTTAAGTACATATACGTTTTTTATTTAAAAGTGCATAAGGTATGAAGAAAAAAATGTTATTTAATATGTGCGAGTGTTATAATTTGTTACGTGTGAATATGTTTGAAATACTTGATTAATTTTTTAAGTGTTTAATATTGTTGAATGTAAAATAAAATATTTGTTACTAAAAGTTGAAGTTCAGTTGTCACAATCCGGGGACGATTTGCCACCGGGTGGTGACATGCATATATTAAAATGCACACATATCGTTATCGTTGCAGTGTCAAAGCAACATAACTGAGCACAACCTCTAATCCATTCGCGGTGTTGGTGTTGTCACAACGGTATGTTGGGTTGACACCGCAACGGTGTGCAACATAATTAACACCGCGCCGTGTCAATTTGACACCAAACCGGTAGAGTCATATATAGACACCGGCCTGGTATCAATTCGATGTCGTTTTTTCTGTGAGTGTACAAGAGCCTCGAACTTCATTTTTATCCGGTGGAAACGTAACTAAATTAACTTTGATTTACAAAATTACTAGACCATTTTTAAAGTTTTAATGTCATTATAATTTTTTTAATCATCATAATTGCGAACTAATAATATATTAATATTATTAGTTGCTTTAAATTATTTACATAAACAATTATGAATAGGGCCTGGGCCCGAAGCCCTATAGAGTAGGGTAGGGTTTTTATTGATTAAGAAAATCTAGGGTAGGGCTAGGGCGGGCTTTA